AGATCCTGAGATCTCCCCTGCCGGTCTCAATATGCATAGGCGGGCCGCGGGGATTAGGGTGTGCCCAGGCACACCCGGCACAACCCGTGCGCACGCCTATGAGATGGAGCCAATCCCAGAGATTATTAGCTTACCAGGAGAGTTGGATTCGCTTTTATGGATTTTTGGTAACTGGTATAACACTGGGGTTTTAGGGTACAGAATGTTTAAATAATTATACTCCGACTTTGATAACAAACCTAATGTTTTTCCTATTTCAAAACATTTGTGGAATATTTCAGTTGTTGGATCTTTGTTAAGTTTTTCGTAGGTGTTCTCATCTCCTAATAGGCTGTTAAATTCTCTGAACTTTTTTAAAATCTTCTTACCATTTCCTGAAATGTGACCATCTCTATGGACATTAAGTGAGGGAGATTTTTCTTTCAGGGCTGAGTGGACACATTGATTTGTAACCTTGCTCTCTGTGTGGGTTGAAATTGCTTGTTTCAAGTATTTTTCAAACACAAATTATGTTAAAAGCGATTTGTATCTATGAACATTTCAAATGTATTCAGACCACTTGTTGTGGCAAATTTAAGGCCCTTTTTAAGGTTTTATATGTCTCCACAGTCTAAAGATTTTCCTGTTAAATTGTAAATACCTTTTTGGTTTATATATGCTTTCCTTTCCATGTCTTCTAAATGGTATCTCCTCCACCTATCCCTAGTCCAGTCCAGAGTTTCCTGGAGTTTCCTTGGTGTGGGTTGTAGAGGTTGTGTAGCTAGCCTTCTTTTGTTTCTTGTATCTTTGAGTGAGCCAAATTCCTCTTCTTGATTAAGTTAAAGGTGAAAATGTACTGTGTAATTTAAAGGTACACTATAGTCACCGAAACAACTTTAGCTTAATGAAGCCGTTTTAGTGTATAGATCATGCCTCTCAGGTTTCACTGCTCAATTCTCTGCCATTTAGAAGTTAAATCACTTTGTTTCTGTTTATGCAGCCCTAGCCACACTTCCCCTTGCTCTGATTGACACAGCCTGCACAAAAAAAAAAAAATCTAGCTTCACTTTCAATCAGATGTAATTTACCTTAAACAATTTTATCTCTTACTCTGTAAATTGAACTTTAATCACATACAGGAGGCTCTTGCAGGGTCTAGCAAGCTATTAACATAGCAGGAGATAAGAAAATCTAAGTTAAACAGAACTTTTAATAAGGGAAGGATAAAAATGAGATGAGTCTTTAAAGGAAGTGTTTAGGAAGGTTGTGCAAGTCACATGCAGGGAGGTGTGACCAGGGTTCATAAACAAAGGGATTTAACTCCTAAATGGCAGAGAATTGAGCAGTGAGACTGCAGGGGCATGATCTATACACCAAAACGGCTTCATTAAGCTAAAGTTGTTTTGGTGACTATAGTGTCCCTTTAAACTGTGGGGAATGTGAATTTGTGTGGTTATACACATTTCCGATTGCAATGTTGTCTAGCTGGGGAGGGCTCCTGCCTATTTTCAGTAAGTAATCTGTGTCTTTGAAGTGGTTTTATATGTTCTTTGCTGTGATCTCCACAGGGGGCTTTTTGGTATCGCAAGGGTTCTGAGTACTCTCTTCTCTACTATCTCCTTGGGGTTTTAGGATCTGTCCCTATATCTCAGGAAGATGGCTATACCTAACCATAGATCCATTTCTTATTTTCTCTCCCGAGGTTTTATGGGGGTTTGCTCTAAATTTTTGAGGTCTAAAACTACTGGTATTTGTTATCTATTTATTGTTTGTTTGTTTTTTTAAATTATTAGAGCTTATATACAATAAAGTAGATTATTTTTTAGCCCCTTGCCTTGTAGTTCAGTCTTCATTACCACAAGGAAACATAACCCTTAGTAACACAAAACACATACATCATGAGTTGGATCCATAGGCTCTATCCAATGTGAGTCATATTCTTCAGCAAATTTAGATTCACAATTGTGTTACCATCTACACTTTTGTTACCTCTCATCCCTTTGAGGAGCCTTTAAAGTGGAGTTCATATTATACCTTTTTGGAACCTTTTTAGACACCAGTTGCTACAGAATTCAGAGCCAGGTCAAATTGGCTCTGAAGATTGTGAGTGTGCACTTTTTAATCCATATATATATTTCACCAAATGTATGGTTTACACTATGTGTTGTATTTTTTTCTTCTTCTTTTTTTGGAGATATGTATGCTTCATGATGTCTATCTTAAAGAGGTATTAGGTAACACTCAGCACCTGTGTTATTATGGACAACACTTTATGTTTAATGGTTGTAAAGACTTGCTATTGGCAATTCTTGCACTGTGTGTAGAGGGAGAATAAATACACAAGTGGTTTTGTTTTTGTTATGACTAACAAATTTGTTGCACATATCCATTATCTTTTTACATTTTTCAAAATACATTAGAATACATTTCCACTTAAACCTTCAGTCACTCAAGTAGACACATGAGATATGTTAAATTCTCTACAAGTTTGTTTTGTTTTATGTAACACAGCATATAGACTGTTCATATGTATGGTATTGATTAATGTTGACTTCTTACATTATAGATGAAGTGTAAGAAAACATTTTATAGGAATAATTGTGTCTCTAATTGTAGCTAATGCTTGCGTTTCTATTATTTTTATTTGACATATTTCCATTTATGTAGTTAGAGTAATTTCAATATTGACAACTCAGTTGCCTTATTGAAAATCAATTTGCTTTTCCTTTGATTTATTTCCCACACAATATTAGCAAAGATATACTCAAGTCTGTAAGAGCTCAATTCTTTAGTACATTATATACACAATACATATAATATGCATTTGCTGGAACTCTCCAGATTTTGAAGCTTCGACAGTGAGCTCTGACCAGAGCAGGAAGTGACTCGTCCAATCACTTAAAGGCACACTCCAGTGGAGCTAGACTCAAGAGGCAGCAATTGCTCAGAGCACCTGTCTTGCAAAGACTTCACATTGAGCTACATTGGGAATTCTGTGATTGGACAGCCACTGACAATCTGGGTGGGGTTAGAAGGGGAGGGATTGCAAAGGCAGCAGACAAGAGAACTGCAGATTTTGCAATGTGTTTTTATATATACCTCCAATTAAAAAAATGAATTGGGGTATATCTACAAAACGGTCATTTTTTAAAATGTATTTTGTATTTGGACAATGAAGTGTCCTTTTAACCTCCAGCAGTTTGAAATGGGTATCCCATGAATCCTTGCAAAGTGGTGCTTTATAGGCTCAGACATGACTTAAGTAAGTTGTTAATTGTCAGTTTTGAAATGAAGCAAGCTACCATGTGAATTACCACTCCTATACATTTAAACAATTACATTACATACAGCTGTATTATTGAAGCAAAAAGGGAAACACTAAAGGTTGGCAGGAATGTTCAGAAAGAATGGCCTTTAGGACTGACGTTAATAGGTAGATTTTTTTAAATCAAGAAGATTAAATAAGTCTATTCAGGAAAACTAAATATAAATATATGAGTGTGCCTGTAATGACCATTAACAGTTATGGTCAATGTCAGCCAGCCATTGATTAATATATGGGGTTCTTCTTCAGCCATTCTTGGTTTGATTTGTGGTTTTTTTAACTTTTTGGGGCATGAGAGAGAAATCTTCATTAAGCGCATTATAAGAGCTTCTTTTTTTTTTTATAAAGCTTTATTGAAACCGTATTATTCGTGAGTAATAACATAGTTTCAAAATATCACACGCAACATGGCGTTTAATTCAAAACAACAAGTTAAATTTTGCACAAATGAAAAAAATAAACAAGATATAAATGAAAAACAACTTTAGTTTTTCTGTTTGTGTTTATACAAGAATTGCCAATGTATGTTACACGAGCATTGTTAGTTGCTACTGTCAGCCTCGAGTGCTTGCATTTGCTTCACTGTATCGCTATTGTCACAAAAAATATATTGAACACTCCCTACTGACCTGCCTTATTCCACCTTCCATTGATAATACCCGATGTTGGAAGGTATGTTAATATGTGCCTGAACTGAGCACTAACCACTGCCCAGTGGAAGCCAGTCACAATATGGCTTACAGAACCAACTGCTGTGTAGTTTGCACATGTACCCAAAATATTTTCCATATTTACCCCTACAGTTTTGTTTTTTTTGTGGTAAAACTGAAGTCACGAAACAGGTCCAGACAAGACTTGGAGATTCCTTTTGGGCCAAACTGCAGTGTGGGTCACTTGCGTGTTTGGCTGGCTTCCAAAGCCCGAGCCGCAATGTACCCGAATCACAGACCAACCGAAGTGCGCAATGCCGAACGTGTTTGGCTGAATGTCATGATTCTGACTTTTTTTAAATTATTGATGGGGGGAAAAAAGCTTATTAATGGATAGAGGACAGTCACTAAACATTGTTTTTGTTTACACAGATCAAGAGAGAAATGAGCAATAGAATGAAAAACAAGAGGAAAAAAAATCTATATTTATATATTATACATTTAATAAATATATAATATAGGAATACAGATTTTTTTTTTACTTTTCTTCCTATTTTCACCTCACTCGATCTGTTAACCAAATGTCAGTAAAATGCTCCTAGCAGTGTAAAATATTATATATATTATTGGCCCATTTTCACACCCTTTTTTTTTTTTTGTTCTTCTGATTTGGTTTAGTACTGAAATTCTGTTAAGCCAAACCAACATTCGGCCAAAGTTCAGGTTTGGCCAAGCCTAATTTTCTTGTCGAGTCTAGATTAGCCTGGATTTTTCTGGAGTGTAAGGTGGAACCAACCTTCGGAAGCAGGGTCCCATCATGAACCCCAATTTAAATAATTCTCTTAGCACACATTAGCAAGAGATAGATAGATAGATAGATAGATAGATAGATAGATAGATATGTGTATGGATGGATGGATGGATGGCTAGATAGATAGACGGATAGACAGACAGACAGACAGACAGATAGATAGATAGATAGATAGATAGACAGACAGCAGACAGACAGATAGATAGATAGATAGATAGATAGATAGATAGATATGTAGATAGATAGAAACATAGAATGTGACGGCAGATAAGAACCATTCGGCCCATCTAGTCTGCCCAATTTTCTAAATACCTTCATTAGTCCCTAGTCTTATCTTATAGTTAGGATAGCCTTATGCCTATCCCACGCATGCTTAAACTCCTTTACTGTGTTAACCTCTACCACTTCAGCTGGAAGGCTATTCCATGCATCCACTACCCTCTCAGTAAAGTAATACTTCCTGATATTATTTTTAAACCTTTGCCCCTCTGATTTAAGACTATGTCCTCTTGTTGTGGTAGTTTTTCTTCTTTTAAATATAGTCTCCTCCTTTACTGTGTTGATTCCCTTCTATAGATAGATTTGTGGATGGATGGATAGATAGATATCTTTAATGTAACAATGTGTAATGTTAGCTATTCCAATAAAAACAATTGTATATAAAATCATCAATACTGTTTAGTGGGCTAAATTCATCCAAAATCGGAAAAAAACACTATAAAAATGGAAACAGTATATTTGACAGAGCTGCTGCTGAGCAGGTATATATCATTCTATTTCAGTCCATATTTCATTGTATTTCACTATATCTCACTATATATGTCATTGTATTACAGTATATTTCACTATAGCTCAGTATACGTTCCATTCTATGTGGTAGCTGTGCTGGGCAGTGAGTGAGCCTGTGGCAGGGGAGGTTGGCAGCTCTCAGACCCAGTTTGAAGGGAGGGGAAGGAAGCATTATCCGGTCCTCCAGCCCTCCTTCCCAGCTCTGGAGCCGGTTGCTAATGATGTTGTCAGGCGGGCGCTGCTCCTGGGTGACCTAGTTTCTGCAGGAGCTGCTCTGGTTGTGGCTCTCTCTCTCCACATCCACAGGCCGGGAGGAGGAGGAGCACTGGGGCTGGCTCATCGCACAGCGCCGAGTTACACAACCAGCACCGTCCTGCATAACTCTGTCAGTCCCTGGGGAACACCGGCGTTATCTGGGATAGAAGACCTGACATAGGAGCCCCGGGGCCCCTAATTGCTCCCAGTGCAGGCAGAATAGGAGGGTTCCATTCTTAGAACACTGAATACTCAGAGCAAAGGAGCTCTGGGATTCCCTCCCCTGTGCATTCAGCGGAGGAGCTCTGGCATTTCTTCACCTGTACATTCAGAATAGGAGCTCTGGGATTTCCTCACCTGTGCATATATAGGAGCTCTGTGATTTCTTCGCCTGCACATTCAGCATAGGAGCTCTGGGATTTTCACACCTGTGCATTCAGCATAGGAGCTCTGGGATTTCCACACCTGTACAGTCGGCTTGGGAATCTGGGGCTTACTCATTGGCTCCCTGTGTGTTAGGGTGAAGAAAGTTAAAGCTCCCACATTTGCTCCCAGAATAGGAGCACTGTGATCTCATTTACTGGCTTACAGTGTAGGAGCTCTGGGATTTCCCCACTTGGTCTCTGTACATTCAGCCTAGGAGATCTGGGGTCCCCTCTCTGACTTCTTGTGGTTTCCAATAGGACATCAAGGTTTCCCTGCTTTGTGCCCCTGAAGTTCTGGATTACTGAGATTCTTTTTAAATCCTGGATATATTTTTTGGATAAGGATCCATGATGACATGTTAAGATTTGTTTTTTTGGATTCCAGTCTCTTGGGTTTAATTATTCTACTGAAGCCTGGATCTGTCTTACCCTGGGGTCCTGGCATGGGACAACTACCTGCTAACTCATCCTACTAGCACAAGGTAAGTGTGCCACTCAGAGATTGTGCCCTATATAATATACAGCATCCCAGGCCCTTCTGGCTGTCAGATATTTTTGGGGAGAAATATTGACATTTCTTACTGTATTTATTATTTAACAAAACCTTGTTTTTTAACACCTTAGTATTTATGTGTCTTGTTTATCCTCAATGAGTATTAGTAAGAACTGAGATTTGGAAACTTGTGGAACTTTAGAATTCCTTTTTTTTTTTTTTTTTTACTGATACATTGAACTCTAATTGTATCCCGGCTTTTAATGTGCAACATGTTCTTTTTTTTAAGGTAATTTTAATTTTGGGTTGCAGCCAAAAATCTTCAAAACAAGAGTTTAGTGGTACAATAGCATCAATAACACTGAACAATTTAGATGTTTATCAAATAAAGTCAGGGATTCAGGATTCATATATGTATAATACGGTTTGGTACCCATGAGGTCACATTACTGGTGGTACTTTCTCTACAGGACTGCCTCTCTTTCTGAAGTTTAATTCAATGTACTCGTATAGTAAGCAATATGCATTCCCATTAAACAAGGCACATTATTTGCTTTTAAAGGTGTTACACAAGGGCAAAGGCTGGGCAGTGGGCTCTGTCCTGCAGATAAAGAAAGAATTCTATCAGACATGATACTGGTAGAAATGAGTTAATTGGCAGTTATCATTAATACTATCTGTCATAGCAGGAAGTTTTGTTGAAATGTGTTTTTTTTCAGTTTTCCCTATTGGGAATTTTCCACTCAAAGTCACAGAACCAGGTGTTTCTGGGCTATTTATTTATTATTTATTATAAGCCATTTTTGGGAAAGTCATTATATCTTATTAATGTACACTTCTCCTAGCTCAGGCATGGCAAGCAGAATTGTTTATAGCCTGCACTGCTGATAAGACTTTGTTTCCTATACTAAAATCACCTTGGTAAGGTAGAAAAAATGCATTTGGAAGTATAGTTTTTGCCATAATAGGTGTTGTGAAATACTCTTGTTCCACTTGGCTGGATACCCAAATTCAATTGCAGTGTCAGGGAGCCAGCTCCTATAATCTGAAAACACAGGACAGAGGGCAGAAAACAAATGTCTTATTTACTGTGGATTTACAAACCATGGTGTTTGATTGAGTTGTTGTAAAATAAAACTATAGTTTCCATTTGTGATTGTACACAGTGCCAATGGGTACATTTTAAGTTGGGTTTTACAGTATATTGTGTGTTATCAAAGTCTTAAAAATGATATTTTATTTATATGGGACATTTTTAAGTTAAGAAAGGGCTTTTGGATGGTTCCCAGAGTATTTGAGTTCCTGTATATCTTCATAGGTGACTCACGAAAATAAGATCACATTATATTCTTAGTGGTAAACAGTTTTATAATAACAGGTATAGAGGTATATATACCTTTGTGTATATGTGTATGGTTAATGTTCTGAGAGACGGTGATATCGGCTTGTACTGCAGATTTTATTTTGCGAAAGGTGCCATTGGAACATTTGGTATCTGTGTCATGTCCTTATTCTCCCCCGTCCCCTCTCCATATTAAAGATTTTACTGATTTACAAAAAAATGTTTGTAAACGTTTGATTATACTTTTGATTTGTTTAATGCTTTTGTGATCTTATCTTGTTTTATTTTTAATTTCTTATATTTTTTTCACTTATTTTTTTTTTTTTTAATTAAAAGTTTCTACGAAGAGGAATATATTTCCTGGGGTACTTCAACTTCCGAAACCTAATCTGTCTTGTTCTTTATCTTTCTTCTCAACTGTGATTCATTGATACATTGAGGTTTTTCCTTATAAAAGCAGTTTGAAATATAAAGTCCTATCTTTAATCTTATTTTTCTCCTATCCCAGCTGTGATACGAATTTCACTGTTTCATTGTTTGAAAAGAATAAAACAGCATTTGACCAAAATCCATTTGGCACATTCCCGCTTTAGTTACTTTTTTGGTTGCACTAATGTGAAAGTATTGGGTATGAATCTTAGGTATTTGCAATCTCTGCCCATAGCTGGGCATGACGAAGCAGGGTGTAACAAGCCTTTCCTAAGGTGTGCTCACTTTGCCAAACTCCTACTAAATGACAACCTATGTCTGATGTAAAGTTAAAAATACTTTCTTAATTAAAAGACTCTTTTATAATATGGCGTCCCTATTATCTGCAAACCCAGCGCTAATACTGGAGAACCCAGTGCTAATGTAGCTAATTTATTCATTAGACTAGAAATTGTAAAAAAAACAACAACAAAAAACGGTTAGATCAGATACACAAAAACAAATCCTGCGCTCAAACTCCCACTTGGGGCGACGGCAATGACCAAAAAAAAGTTACCTGCGCTCTTCCCAAAACCCTATGCATATTTAAACAAATGGAGGTTATTTAGTTACTAAAATGGCCATTAGAGTGAATGCCCACCTGCCACGTCAAGGCAAACCTCTTAGGTGGGTCCTACACTGACCATTCACCTTGTTTCCTTGAACTTCTGGCAAAGATATCTCTAATGAGACAGAGAGGGGTATTTTTCCAAATCCCTACATGATTATTAACCCTTAACAGGGAACACATGGGGTGGGCGGCAGCATTGTAACATAGCTGTGTGATACAAAAGTACATACAAATACAAAAAAAAAAAAAGTCCTGCGCTCAAACTCCCACTACTCTTCACTTTTTTTAGATCAGACTTGCCGAACTGGAATAATTGCTTAATTGAAAAAAAAAAAAGGTCACAAGTACTTTGAAAAATAGCTTGCCAGTTCTCCACAATTCCCAGTCCAAAGGAAGTTTGTATTTTCTTTTTGTCCCCTGTACTTAATCTGTTTCTATCTAGAGGACCAACTTTAACCCCTTAAGGACCAAACCTCTGGAATAAAAGGGAATCATGACATGTCACACATGTCATGTGTCCTTAAGGGGTTAAAAAACTCATAAACTAGCATAGAGAAAGACTCATTACTACAGCCTGATCCTCCTTAGGTGATGTCATCAAACCTGCTGAATTTTGTCCAATCTTATTCCTCTTAGGGTCTTGCAGTGTTGACATATGGTGTATGAGCATCTATTGTCAAGATATGCCAAACCAGAACTTTTATAAAAGTAGTGTTAAAACCAAGGCATCTTATAGAGAAGAAAGAGATCACACAGAAAGGAGATTTTGTCTAAGGCAAAGGAAATGTTTTAAGAATAATAAGGATGTCGAATTCTCTGCCTGAAGAAGTGGTTTTATCAGAGTCTATACAGATATTTAAAATGCAATTGGATAAATACTTTCAAAAACATAATACACAGGGACGTAAATTTTAATTAGTGGGATAATAGCTTCTTCATCCAAGGAAATATCTGACTGCCATTCTGGGGTCAAGAAGGCATTGTTTCCTAGTATGTTGCACATTTGGAAGCTCTTTAGATTGTTTTATTTTTTTTTGCCTTCTTTTGGTTCAACAACAAAAATCACATGTGAGAAAGGTTGATCTTGGTGGATGCATGTTTCCAGCTATGTAATTATGTAACTATGTATGTAATTTGCACGCATACCCAGGGTCCAGAATCTGCATACCGAGGCTGGACATATAATTGATTCATTTATTGAATTCATATATCTATTTTAGTCTGAAGCTACTATTGGTTGTCTGTCTGACAGCCTCTAGAGGCATGGGAACTGCAAAATGTAAACTGTATTGTCATTTGAAAAAAAAAAAATCAAAGATGTTTTGGGATATGTTTACAATTTGTCTATTTTGGACCAAACTTTTAATTTGAATTCACACTGAATTCCCCACAATTCACACCTTTGCAAATAATTCTGAAATGACAAACAGTTGACACAGTAAAGCTATTGGTCACCAATAAAGGCAATAATACCCACATTGTTTTCATATTCAAAATACAGAATGGACCTCAGAACATGAGATATTGTCGCATATGTACCACAAATCAAAAAACAAAAATCTTGAAGGAACACTCCAGTCACATCAGCTTCACATTAGCAAGTGACATTTTCATATTTGGGGGCAGAAACACCTTCAGGGCTGTCAGTCATAGAAGCATTTGAAAGCCACAACATATGTGTGTGGCACATGCACACATGCACTCTCGGCTTCAGCACAGTGGTTTCTCAAAGTCTGTGCCTGAGAAAGAGGGGAGGGCTTGCACTGGCTGCAGAAAGCAAATCTGCAGCTTTTGCAAGTTGTTTTTCAAAATCTTCAAAGAAAACTTGCAGGGGAAAAAAAACATGCTTGTTTTCTTTGGGATATATATAATAAATTTGTAAAGAAAATTGTAAAAAATCAATGAAGTGTTCCTTTTCAAGGCATCTATTTTATATCAACCATTAGTTACCAGCACATAAAAAGATGTTTAACTTCCCTTCCTGCAGCAGTAAGACGGGTCCCAGGACCAACAGGCACCATAACGCCTTATTTGGGCACATTGTCATGGTGATGGAGTAATCCTTTAAGATGCGCTAAAAGCACCATTATGACTGCAGTTTAATGTAGTGGTTATGGTACAAGGAGTAATTTAGATGGAACCACGTTACTAAGTAAAGGAGTTTAAGCATGCGTGGGATAGGCATAAGGCTATCCTAACTATAAGATAAGGCTAGGGACTAATGAAAGTATTTAGAAAATTGGGCAGACTAGATGGGCCGAATGGTTCTTATCTGCCGTCACATTCTATGTTTCTATGTTTCTATGTTTCTAAGACTGTAGAAACAAAGATGCATGTATTAATTATTTTCATAGAACACCAGATGTATTAATTATTTTCATAGAACACCAGAGGACATTCACAAGAAGAATGGAATTATAATTAAAATTTTACATAGAAATTGTGTTTCTGGGATATGTGACACTACAATTGTAGTATTGTCATGGTAGACCAGGACATGTATTCACCCTATTTATCAAAATGAGTCTATACGGGAAATTCACACATATATGCATTAACATAGACAACGTTTAGTCAAACAGGT